TGTGGTATACCACTTTAAAAGATGATGAGCTCTCAAGGGAATAACTAAAAACATAGCAGTCCATGAGAATGCCATGGGGCCAAGTAGTACTGGAGGTCCTGTATGAGTGACATGAAAATATTGGAGGTCATATACTGTTTGAGTGATATGAAAGTAAGGAAGATCATATATGAGTTATATGAAAGTACTAGAGGTCATATATGAGTGGTATGAAAGTCCTGGAGGTCATATATGAGAGATATGAAAGTACTGGAGGTCATATATGAGAGATATGAAAGTACTGGAGATCATATATGAGTGATATAAAAAGTCCTGGAGGTCATATATGAGTGATATAAAAAGTTCTGGAGGTGATATATGTGGGATATGAAAGTTCTGGAGGTCATATATGAGAGATATGAAAGTCCTGGAGGTCATACACTGAGCGGCCAGATTATTATGACCACCTGACGTGTGTAGGCAAATTATCTATAATTAGCTATAATTTCGCGCTGAAGTTGCTAGAGGGCCAGACCATTATAAATAGGGAAGCAGGTTGTTTACCACGACAGTAGAAGTGATTTGTTTCTGAAGATACGGGGAAACAACGCGATTTAACAGCCTTTGAACGTGGGATGATTGTTGGCGCTCGGAGGCATGGAGCGAGTATCAGCAAAACAGCAGAATTTGTTAAATGTTCAAGAGCAGCTGTTGTTAAAGTGTTTAAAGACTGGACTGTCAGCCGAAAATCTGAACGTGCAAATTGTGTCCGTCAGCGACTAGTCAATGTTACTGCAGAACGGAGAGCGGCAAGACTGGTACAAGACAACAGAAGGGCAACAGTGCAGTGTCAGATCCCTCGCATCACCTTTCAACATCTCGTGGAGTCACGAGGCGGTCCAACGAAGTCATCTTGTGGAGTCATCTTGTGGCCCAACAAAGTACTGATGGAGTGGTCTTAATAATCTGGCCACTCAGTGTATATGACTGATGTGAAAGTCCTGGAGGTCATATTCCCTTGCAAAGTGATCAGCCCATGTTAGTAGATAATCCCCACATCTCTTCCTTCCTTATAATGGCTACATCGTAAAAAGATTCAATGTCGGAGAAGGTGCTACCCTACTGTTCTGGAATTTTTTAAGTTTCTGCCAAAGTGCCAGGAAAGCAGTTCAAGAGTTCAGGACTCATCAGCCTCATTAGAGGATGCCAAATGCAACACAAAGTTAAACAAGAAAAACAGCACTGGAAGAGCCTGCTGTGATTACCGCTACCTATAAACCAGACTGAAACATCAATGAAACTTTCTTATGTAATCCCCCAACAAAGAAAAAAGTTACCTGATTTTAAAGAACACTTAAAAATACACAGGGACCGGCGCTGGCAATCTTAATGGTGGACAAACTAACATGGGATCCTTAGCTGTGACAGCTTGGCACGGTTACCTTTGAGTTTGAGCTATTAACAGAAGGCTTCGGGACCGGAGTAAAGAAGAAAGGGTTCGTTTTGTAGGAGCAGGTTGGTGATAAGGTGATAAAGTGTTAGAAATATTAAGCCTTTCCTCTTTCAGTTTAATTGCGTGGCCTTGTGTCTTCTGTGGCCATTTTAAACATTTAGAACAGATAGGCAAGTTTGGCACGCCGGCTGTTGTGAAACTACAAGTCCCATGAGGCATTGGAAGAGTCTGACAGCCACAGGCATGATTCCAAGAGGCAGAGACACAATGGTAATTGTAGTCTCGTCACAGCTGGAGATGCCAAGGTTTCCTACCCCTGATTTAGAATGATAAGTCCCGTCAAAGAAGCAGAAACCATGAAGAGCCTGATATTACTTACTATTATCCTCCAAAATCTCTTCTGTGCCCGTCACCCCCCCCCCCCCCCCCCCC